TGTAGAAGCATGATAAAACAAGATAATTTCAGAAAAACTGGACACGCGTGTCCGGGCGCAGTAATGTGGCGCAGTAAGCACGTTCGAAAAAATTTCTGTCGCACAGGCATATGATAATCTGAAAATCAAAAGTTATATACTGTATAATACTTTTGAATAAATAGGTGATTCTGACTTTGAAAATTATCAGTTATTTTATATCTAACTATGACGTTATTTCGTAAAAGAACTATAGTTATTCTTCTTGCTCTTCTAAGCTTCCATTTTGCGTTTGGTCAACACTAAAGATGACCGAAACAGCAGATCAATTACTAAGTCACGTCGTTCCGATTTGCCAATGGATCCCGCAAACTTCACGTAATCCAAGTTCAACATTTTCTGCTTATCCACGATTTCCAAGTGACGTGAAGGAATGGGTCGGATTCTTTCGAGGTGTCAGACTTAAACAATATCACATTCCAGGAGGACAATTCCCCATATCCTCAACTATCGCACAATCTTTAAGGGTTGAAAAAGATGCAGAAACTCGTTTTTATTTTAATGTTTTAGGGCCAGTTCAGACATTACTAGGAACACAAGGAGCGACATTTTGTGGGAGATGTCCTGGATTGTTGGGTTCTCCCGATTATATTTTATGCACTAATGATTCTACCGTTGCCAAGATGCCTCTGGAAATGAAAACGAGACACAATCTGAATTTATGTGGTCGTCATCTTTGGAAAATTTATCGAAAGGCTGACCGGGACCAAATAACGAATCAAAATTTCCAATTTAAGAAAAAGATTTTATCACAAGTGTTTGGTGCAATGGCCTGTAATGGTCTTCATTACGGCATATTATCAAATTATAGTGATACATACTTTTTCAAGAGAGAGGAAGAAAGTAAAACTACTTTGCATGTTTCCCGTGTTGTTCAACCTAATGATACCAATCCGACTTTACGCGAATGCGTTTACTATATCAGCCAACTTGCTATTAATGATCGTTCCGGTATAAGATTGAAATGTATAAGGGGTGACAATATTTCATCTAATGGTTTTGATGATGCTGATAACACTGATGATAACTCTGATGATAACTCTAATGATCAGGATTACACTGATGATGGTTCTAGCGGTGATGATGTTTCTAGCGATGATGATGGTTCTAGCGATAATTATGATGATGATTATCCTTCGAAGAAGATGAAGCGAGATTCGAAAAAGGCCGGCAGTAGCAAAAAAGTAATTGCAAGTTCTTCTAAGGGAATTACTACTATAGATGAATACATAGGTGGTGGAACCTTTGGAAAAGTTTTTTCTGGCCTTTATCATGGTCAAGCTGTGGCCTGGAAAACCTGTGATGCATATAAGGAAAAAGAAGCAAAAAAATCATTAAGAGTTGAAGCAAATGTGTATTCAATTTTAAAGGAATGTCAAGGTATGTGTACTCTTTTTATTCCTTTATAATATTTATTGACATTAACTTTTTATATTGCAATAATAATATTAGGAAACATTATTCCACGGTTATTATATAAAGGTTATGTCTATGATGGGTATCTTTATGTGTTGACATTACAATTAATTGAGGATGCTCGCCATATTGACCCAGCAAACCTTACGGTAGAAGAAAAGAGAACAATTATGCAACAACTTGAAACAATACATAGTTACGGCATTTTACACAATGATATCGCTCAAAGGAACATCCTTTTAGAGCCAAAAAGTCATCGATTCTTTTTTATTGATTTCGGTCTAAGTAAGTTTGTTGGTACTGAATCAAAAAAATTGTACAAGGAGGAAAAAAAGCTAAAAAAATTGCTACAAATTTGACCATATAGATTTCATATTATATCAATATAAAGTAGCGGATGTTTCATCTTCTTTCTACACGAAATGATTAGTTTTTTTTTTATTTATCATGTATTTTATCAGCATTTATTAATAAAGAATTTCGGTTAGAACATACAATGTATCATGAATTATTTTTTCGTGTGAATGAACTACTACTATTTCGGGTTAAAAATCGGTTACATTGTATATCATTTTTTCGTGATGATATACACTCACCTAGCAAAAGTATCCGACCACTTAAAAATTATTAATTACAAAGTAAATTTTTATCCGTTAATAA